GAGCACTTCATTTCACATTAAATGATACAAAATATTTTAAGAGTCCTACTAATTAGAGAGAATCAATGTGAGTTCAGTGAGTTGAGCTTGTAGTTGGAGTGTCTGGTCGTCCTCTGTGGGAATCCAAGGAAAAGTTTTCAGCTGCCCTGTGACCTGCATCATGTGCACCTGGGTCCAAATATAATTAATAGATGCCCACTTCCACAAAAGCACAGAATAGGGTACAAATCCTCCCACACAAAACTCATGAGAAGAGGGCTGGAGTAATTTAGAATGCAGTAAAAGTTACACTATTGAGGATAAAAGTTAAGGTTTGCCTGCTCAACTGAACTTAGCACCAGAACCATCGCCTGTCACTCCCATGACCCAACTATATGGATACGGATGCAAGAAGCATCGGTGTGATTCCCAAATACACAGGAACCCAGTGGCTGTGGGACATCACACGGGTTTGTCTGGACACTGACCCTTTTGAAATGCACTGCATTGACCCATGCACTCTCCTTTCTGAAAGAAGACAGTGGTCTACTCCAGGGCATTTCAACCCTGGAACAAGTACAATAATCCCACCTGCCCTGCCTCCTGCACCTTGTATGTGACCTTCTCTGCTGGGCTGGGCAGACCAGGGGGGCAGCAGCCTGTGGGAGGCTGGAAACCCTGGTCCACACCCCCTCTCATGTGACAGGTGCTCTGGGGTGACCTGCAGGAGGGAAGCCCCTGGTCTGAGTCCGTTTCCACCAGCAGGGGAGCAGCAGAGCTGCATCAGGAGCTGCAGGACAGAGGCTGGGGCAGCTCAGGGGGTCTTCAGGAACACGAGGCCAGGATTTCAGCAGGTTGTCTAAGGTTCAGTCCTCAGAGGCTGTCAGGATGATCCATCCTAACTCCTCTGGCTGCAAGGACCTTGCTCTGAGGGTCAGACACAGTGTCACCCAGGACAATAACAGGAGTTCTGACACAGTAAACATCTGAACTGGGAAATTCAGGTCCTTTCTCTGTCCACCAGTGTCCCCAGGGAATGACTCCTCTGTGCTGGGCACATCCAGAGACAACCAATGACTCACACTCTACCTCTCCTTCCCCACATCCACCCCAACTCAGACCTGGGGCTGCAGCTCCTTTGTTCAAGGTGATCTCAGGGGCAGGAGGCAGAGCACGTGGGGATCCTGGTTCCTGGAGGAGCAATTGGAGCCTCCTTGTGAAACTGTCTCCAGAGTGACATGACTCTCATGGTTGCAGGGACCATTGCTCAGGGCCTTGAGCTCACACCATATGGGAGCATGTGATCATGTGGATCCTCACAAGACCACCAACCTTGAAATATTTTCACAGGGATTCAGGCCATCTTAACAGGTTTGCATGAAACGTTGATGAAAAAAGTAAACAAAATCAACTGGTTGATTATGTCAATTGCTGGTCTGCTGTGGGATGGGGGTTGCATAGAGACAACAGCACCATGTGTAAATAGACCAGAAATCCTGATGAATCTCCAACAGCAGGTGGTTGTTTGACTAGTAAGCTCCCACTTACAAAATGATGATGAACCTCAAAATGAGAGAGTTTCCTATTTTGTTGTCATGCCACAGATGGGACCACAGAGTCTCTGGGGTATGGAGAGGGAATGAGAAGCCAGGGAAGGGGGTCATGAGGTGACTGGACCACCTTTCCCTGACTCTAGTGTTGTCTGCATTTCTCAGAGGGACCAGACCAGCAGCCCATGGCCAGGAATCTGGAAGACCCTGGGCCAGCCCCGGACAAACCCCAAGAAGAATGTGTAGGGTCAGTGGTTGTGTTCAAATCTCTGGAATGTGATCGTGATACCAAATTTGGAGACCAACTTTCATTTTCTGACCTGAGAGCTGTTGGAGGAAGCTGCAGGATTATTTCTCCCTCCTCATTCACCTGGCCTGAGCTCACAGATGGTTTGAGTCCCAGAGAGGAGGAAATTTGCATAAATACTATCAAGCACAGAACAAAAGGCCTGGAAAGAAGTAAGAGAGGCCAGGGTGAGGCTGATTCAGCTGTGATTCTCAGAAGCAGCCCCGAGGAAATCCGCCATGGCCTGGACTTCTCTCTCACTCCTTGTCCTCACTCTGCACAGGTGCTGTCCTCAGTCCTGCTCACACTCTCAGCCCCACAGGACCTGAGCTGAGCCTGCCCAAAACCCTGAGCATAGGCACAGCACAACCTCAGTATTAGGATCCTGGAATGAGCCCCTGGACCTCATTGCAACCTCTCCTCTTCTGTCCTTTCAGGCTCCGTGGTCTCCAGTGAGCTGATTCAGCCACGCTTTGTGTCAGTGGCCCTGGGACAGATGGATACAATCACCTGCACTGGAGAGGAACTGGAATATGATTATGTACACTGGTACCAGCAGAAGNCTGGAGAGGAACTGGAATATGATTATGTACACTGGTACCAGCAGAAGCCAGGAGAAGCCCCTTTGACAGTCATTTATGCAGATAGTGAGCGGCCCTCTGGGATCCCAGAGCGATTCTCTGGCTCCAAGTCAGGGAACACGGCCACCCTCACCATCAGCAGGGCACAGGCCAAGGACGAGGCTGACTATTACTGTCAAGTGTGGGATAGTGGTAATGCTCATAGTGACATAGGCAGATGGGGAAGTGAGAAACAAACCCCTTGCCCATCTCTGTCACACTCTCCTCCAGCTCCAGGAGGAGAGCAGAGCAATGAGCAGGTCAGGCCCAGGTCCCCAGGTGTGAGGTCCCCAGTTTGTCCCCTTCTTCCCAGTCCTCCAGGCAGGCTGCACAGGGCAGATCACCAGGGCATTTGTAAGCAGTTGTTAGAACTCCATTTCCTCTGGGACTGTGTGTGGAGGAAGGACTGCACATGTGAGAAGCAGAAATGGAACACCTTTTTAAAGAACTTTTCTTTTAAAACTTTCCTAAATGAATATGTCTGAAATTTAAAAATACTGGGGATAGACTGACAGGAAATATAATGCTGTCAGGGAATCTGATGCCATAGCGATGGAAAGTATTCAAAATGAAACACACAGTGAAATACCTAATAAAATTAATGAAGGCTCAGTGCCCGGAGGATACCTTCACACCACCGAGACAGTGTGCAAGTGTAGGGACTTAAGGGAGGGAAGATGAAGGACTGGGGGTGAAATAAAAAGTCTGTGAAGATATAATCTAAAAAAGGCTGTAAATTTGGAGAAACCCAGGAACCTATGTATCCGACACTCTCACAGGCAGAGAGGAGAGTCCTGTACACTACAGAGTTCCCAGCATCGTGCTGGGGGCACATTTCTCATCATGAACCATCTAAACTGGAAAACAGGGAGCAATGTCTTCAACATACTTATAGGAAAAATCTGTCGGCATTGGTCTTTACTGATGAAAAATGTCATTGAAAAGTGAAGAGAAAATCAACCTTTCTCAGACAGCAAACCTCCCAGAACTGATCACCCACAGACCCTCAGCACAAGTGAGAGTGAAGGACGCCCCTCAGTCAGAAGGAAAGAGTGACATATGGAAATGTGAGTCTGCATAAAGTATAATAAGCTTCAGAAATCATATCTACATGGAAAAACCTAAAACAAATTTTAGTGGTCAATGTGTGGAAATACCATCCAGTGCTAAAAGCAAAAACAATAGCAACATGTTTAATTTATAATGGAGGAACATGTAAAACGTATGATGATGAGAGCAAAAATAATGACAGAGAAGAGACCATGTTATGATGTCCTTATCCTGCACCTGAGTGATGTCGTGTCATTGGGGGGAACTATAAGATACAGGGTGAGGGCTGCAAACCCACCATGGGCTGGACCCTCTCCTGTTTCCCACCTAACTCGCTCTCAGGTGCTGACCAGGGGCTGCCCATTGGGTCAAACCTCAGAGGAACCTGAGCATGACCTTGAACCTGAAGTCAGCCTGGAGAGTGCTGCAGGGTTGGAACCCAGAGAAGGAGCACCTGATTCTCCTGAAACTAGAGGCCTTGTGTCCACTGCAGGACTCACTGACCCCAGCTGTATGGCCAGAAGACTCCTGTCATTCTGTCAACTTAGAGGACAGAGAGGAGTAAGCAATAATACAGAGCGGATCCAGGAGGACACACGTCAGGTCCCTGTATAGCCAAACATTCTCTACTGTCCTCACAGATTCTCCAGCTATAACCTGGGATGGGACACCGTTGATCCACCCCACATGCAGGCTGAGGGGACTCCTTCATACACCAGGCAGGATGGGGATGGCAGTGAGTTCAGTGACAGGAGCCCTGCTGCCCAACCTGGCCTTACCCTCCCTCCCTCCAGTTCTGCACAAGCTCTGCCCCTAGGTGCCTGGGATCTGAATCTAGCACACCTGGGCTCCATCCTGGACTAGCCCCACTTTTCTCTGCTCTCCGGGGAACCTTTTTTCCCTGGACCTCAACTTTATGTGATATGAAATGAGGACAATTATGCTGATGTTAAAAACAGTTTGTTTCCAAATTCGATGATGTACAAATATTGACAGAGTCTTAGGAATGAAACAGAGGTTGTGGGGTCTCATGAATGGACACTGGGCAGGGAGTCTCTTGTCCATCCTTTACAGAAATCCAAGGGAAGGGGCTCAGCAAAAGTGTTACATGTATGATGTGAAATTGCACATGCAGGTCTGATTCCCAACTTCCCTGTTTCATCCACATCACCCAAGNACCCAAGAGGCTCGTGTACAAATCATCCTCCCTCAGACTGCTAGTGCACTGGGTTGTAGTAGAAACAACAGTGTCAGAGATGACAGGAATATGCTAATAAAGATTTAGGTGCACATGTGAAGGTTAGTGCTAGAAGGATCCCCTGTTGCTCTGTGACCCGGCGACACTCACTGGGATGCAGGCAGCATTGGACTTGATTCCTAAATGGAGAGAAAGGAGTGCCAACAGGATCTCACAAAGGTTTCCTGAACTGTGACCCTTTCAGCACACTACACTTTAGCCTGCACCCACACTATTGCAACAGCCAGTGGCACAGGCTAGGCCATATCAACCCCTGGACAAGAGGAAGGAATCCCACCTGTGCAGTCTCCTGCACTCTGTGTGAACTTCTGTGCTGGTCTGGGCAAGGCAGTGGGGGCAACTTACTGTGGGAGGCTGGAAACCCTTGTCCACACCCTTTCTCAGGTGACAGGTGCTGTGGAGTGACCTGCAGGACAGAAGCTCCTGGTCTGAGCCAGTCTCCACCAGCAGGGGGCAGCAGACTGCATCAGGAGCAGCAGGACAGAGGCTAGGGCTGACCAAGGGGAGCCTCACAGGGAGACCAGGCCTGGGGGTCAGCAGGGGTCCAGGGTTCTGTCCTCAGAGCCTGTCAGACTGATCTATCCTAACTCCTCAGGCTCCAAGGGACTAATTTCTGAGGGTCAGATTCACACACAGTTACCCAGAACATTAAAAGGAGTCCTGACGCACTGAGTAGCTCATCTGAGAAATTCCAGTCCCTGTCTCTCCACCTGAGGTCCCAGATAGCTGACTCTTCTCTGCTGGGCACGTCTACAGGCACCCTGACTCCTCCCCCTTTGCCTCTCCTGTCCCACTCCTTGCAGATGCAGATCTGGGGCTGCAGGTGCCTTGCTCAGGAGTGACTCGGGGGACAGGAGGTGGGGCACTCAGAGCCCCTGGTTCCTGGAAGGTGGGTCTGCAGCCTCCTGTGAGACTGTCTACAGAGTGAAGTGATTCCCATGGCCTCGGGCCATGTCTTTGGTCCCTGTGCTGTCCTTGCTTCAGAGACAGGGTCCTGTTCTCAGGAGGGACCACAGACTATCTGGTCCCCAGAACTCATTCCCTGTGCAAAGATGTAACCATGGGGACCCTCAAAGAGGCACAAAACATGAAGTGAGTCCCTCAGTCAGGGGTGGTTTCTGGCACTTTTTACAAACTTACATGAGACATGGAAGAAAAAAATGAAAGGAATCAAAGTGTTGAGGTGTACATTGCTGGACTGCTGTGGGATGGGGTGAGTCATAGAGATAGTCAGCCCACATGGAAATAAACTAGAAGTCATGGTGAATCTCCAAGAGCAGGTGATTCTACAGCAGTAAATTCCCAAACGTACCATGATAAACAAGTGTCATAATGAGAGTTTCCCATTCTCATGACATGTTGAGTATGGGACCAGAGTTCAGCTGGGGGATGCAGAGGAGACGTGAAGTAGGAGGGGTAGACACTGAGGTCACAGGACCACTTTCCCTGAATCAGGTGTTGTCTGTAGCTCTACAAGAGCCCAGTTCAGCCCCATAGTCAGGCTCCTGAAAGGCCTCCCTGGAGCTGACTCAGCTACCCTGTCCTCACTGACCCTGGGACAGATGGTCATGATCACCTGTCAGGGAGACAGTACAGAAATCTTCAGTGTTCAGTGGTACTTGCAGCAGTCAGGACAGGTCCCTGGCTGGCCATACGTAACAATAACAAGGGTCCCACAGGGATTTCCTGATTCTAGGAGTCCAACCTGGAAGAAAGGGCCACCCTAAACACCAGCAGGACCAGGGCCAAGGACGAGGCAACTACTACTATCAGGTGTGGGACAGTGGTACTAACGCTCACAGTGAGAGAGACAGGGTTGTGAGACAAAAACCCCTTTCCTATCTGTGTCATACTCTCCATCAGCCCCTGGAGGACTGTGGACAAAGCACATAGGTCTGGTCCAAGGCCCCAGATCTGAGATTCCCAGGTCTATCTCCCAACACAGCCCTCCAGGCAGCCTCTGTATCATGTGGATCAGGGGTGCCTGTGCAGGAGGCGGGATGGCACTGTCATGTTTTCTGGCTTAGGGTACTTGTTAGAGATGAAAGATCAGGCTGGAAGGACAAAGAGTCATCCATGGAGACAAGACAAGCTCAAAGTGACAAGGTGAAATCTCAGCTTTCCATTGAACAGAATCATTGTGGTGTTTCTGTGTGGAAGCAATTCTCCTTTAGAACTAAGACCTCTAGGGAAGCAAAGTGTACGGTCATGGTACAAGGACTGAAAATTTTGCAGTAGGTCATCCGGAATATCAGTGAGTAAGGACGCTCACCATTCCACCCATTTGTTCCTGGATCCATGAATGCTGCCTATGGGAGAAACAGCTCATATATTGGACACCTATTTAGAGCAAATATCACCTCCTCCCAATCTTGCCCACAGTCCCACAAGGTGTGGCATGTGACTGGACGGTAAACAAGTCTGCAAAAAGCCCCTAGTCCATCATTCAAGCCAGCTGTTTCTCTCTGCTGTAAAACAAAAGAAACCATGAACGACATGATTTCTGGGGGCGCCTTGGGCTCAAACCCTGCCAAGGTGTCCATCTGCACACCTGGGCCCAAACCCACATTCTAAATTGTCAGGATCTCTGGGGGCTAGGAGGAAGGTAAGGACCCAGAGATCAAAAATGAAGGCATGGAGAGGCATGGGTGGTGCAGCTGGTTCAGTGGCTGACTCTTGCTTTTGGCTCAGGTCACGATCTCAGGGTCGTGGGATCGAGTCCTGCTTGGGGCTCTGTGTTCAGCACAAAGTCTGCTTGAGAATCTTTCTCCTTCTTGCTCTGCTCCTACTCCCTGCTTGCTCTCTTCTCTCTCACTCAAATAAATAAATAAAATCTTAAAAAAAA